TTGTGCCAGTCCACAAACGGAGGTCACGGACATCACTGAGAAAGTGCTACTGACCTCCTCACAGCTCTGAACTATCAGTGTCAGACTGCAATGAACTCTGGTGGTGTTGTGCGTGCCTTGGCTGTCGACATTGAATGCGCTTTTGATCGAGTCTCCCACCGTGGTGCTCTCCACAAGCTCAACGCCTATGGTATTGATGGGACACTCCATTGCCGGCTCTCTGCTTTCCTGACAGACCGTCATCTGCAGGGAGTCGTAGGCCGTGCCACGTCTCCCACCTTCCCGATCACTGCTGGTGTGCCCCAGGGGAGCATCCTTGGCCCCACCATCTTTCTACTGTACGTGATCGATGCTGCTGACGTCCTCCCAATCAGTGTTATCCCAGCCACGTACGATGATGACGCAACCTTGTATGCTGTCCTGCCCAAGCCTGAATCCACTGCTGCCCATTGTGCTGACCTCCAGACTGGTGTGACTGTGATAAAATGATCTGCTGTAGGACCTACTCCACTTTTATGTTTATGTATCTATGTCATTCGGATCTTCCCAAGTTGTACATTGTACTGTTGAGATACCGAGTTCAAATAAATCAATACCAATACCAATACTGGAGTGCCAAGTGGAGGATTCGGTTCGAACCTACGAAATCCCAAGCGATAACCATATCACGGCTGCGCAAATACTGGTCCATCCCGCCAATTCTGTTCAACGGCATTGCACTTTTCGAAGTAGAATCTGTCAAGCTGCAGAGAGTGACCTTCGACAGCCAGGTCCTGTATGGAGAACATGCAAACTGTCGCCATCGGCGCCTCCCAAAGCATTGTCTTCCATCACAAGGCACTGCCGGTCTTAGACCAGCCTGGGCGACTCGCTACCTACAAAGGTTTCATCTGCCCCCTGCTTGAGTACGGACCACTTGTTTGGCACATTGCAGCAGCCAGCCACCTTGCCCGCCTGAACAAGGTCTGGCAACATGCCCTCTCCCTGGTAGGTCGTGGAACCGTTGTCGACAGCCTGGAGCTCTGCGGCCAGATAAGTTGCCTCTGTATGTTTTTAAGCTCAAGTGTGGTGCACGCCTGCCATCCCTTGAGCCCCTGCTCCCTCCCCTGGCAGCACCTACCAGAGAACCCCGTACAAGACGGCAGTCTCAGCAGTCGCAAGGTCACAACCAGCAGCTTAGCATCCCCTCCGTCCACGCTCCAACAATGCCCTACTACTCGTATTCCCATACGGCTTCGTGCCTACCTGTAACTCCCTTCTACCTGCTATACTAAGTGAAGCACCATGCCACCGTGGCCTCCAAGCCTTCTAGCTGAAGACGTATCAGCACCTCCGACGTAAAGACTGGGTTTGAGCGACAGATATCTGCCCATGATCGGTTCTTGGTCACCTGCCTTATTACCTCAATTGTTGCGCATACTCGATGCCGGTGCGTGCGTGATGGTGCATGTGTAAATGTGTGCGTGTGTGTGTGTGTTGGGTGTGTGTGTGTGTTGGGTGTGTGTGTGTGTGTGTATGTGTGTGAGTGTGTGTACGTGTGTGGGTGTGGGTGTGTGCGTGTGGGTCCCATATGGTGCAGTGGTATGTGCAGCGATTTCCAATCGATAGGTTGCGGGTTCGATTCCCAACGATTATGGTCACACACGTCTTTCTTCTCTTGCTCATTCTGTTCCTGACTTTTCTTTCATTCTCCTGGGTGGTTACCAACAGCCAGTGCATGCCGGAGTATGTGCTGTGATGTGTGTGCGGGAAAAAAGAAAATAAAAAAGACCAAAAAGTAGGGATTCACTGGCCAGAAGAAAGCAACTTCATAGCTGTGTGGTGTAGACCAGGCTGAATAGTTGCGGTCAATTCTTCAGCCTTGCAAGCGGTTGAATGGTGCAATTCCAGCACAAGTTGCTATGGCTTCTGCTGTAGCATGGCTATCATCGCTTCCGGCGATGGGCGTCCAATGGTCCAATGGTCCAAAGGGTGTGTATGTAAGTTTGTGCGCTCATGTATGCGTGTGTGTGTGTGTGTGTGGCTGTGTGCACATGTGTTTGTGTGCGTGTGCACATGTGTTTGTGCATGTGTCTTAGGGTGTGTTTGTGTATATTCATTCGGATGCCTGCTACTGGGCGTTTGTGGCAATGTGTGATGTGCCTGTTCTCCTGTCCTACATATTATTTATTTCTAATTTGCTCTGTTGTGGTCCTGCTCATTTTTCTCACTTCGTATCTTTTCTGTTTGGTGCGCATGAGCAGTGCTGAAACGGAGACGCTTGGTCGGTTGAGCTGCTCTTGCCCACCTCCACTGCTTAGTAGTATGGGCATCTCTGTGCGTTTTTGCCGGTGTTTGCACCATGATTGTTTGTGGCTATTTTTGTAAAACAAAAATAAAAAAATTCGCGTTCGCTCCGGGCCGTGATTTCCATGTTCATCCTGTCGCCGCTCAGTGATTCTTTATCCTATCGCGACGAACTTTATAATCCCGGAAAGATGAGGTCCTTGATAGTTTGTACACTGGTCTATGGAGTGCGATATAATGGGCGCTCGCTCCCGGCCGTGATATTTATCCTGTCGCCGCTCAATGATTCTTTATCCTATCGCGACAAACTTTATATCCTCAGCAATGCCTTCAACCATACACTTCCTGCAGTACGAAAGAAGTAGGGCCTGCAATCCGTAGAGGGTATAACCTGACTTAATTTCAGCATGTTGGGCTGGTATTTCTACGGGAGGTACTCGACTATCACTTGGTGGGGGGGGTCTGATCTACAAACTTCCCATGTCTAGGAGCTACATCTCCGCCGTTTTCACAAAGGGTGGTGGCATCCAAACGGATGCGAAAAACTCGGCCTCCAACGCAGGGGAAGTTAAGCCCAACATCCTTTTTTCACCAGTTGCAGTCCTCGGGTTGCTGAGTCGAATGCAATGGTCTTGGTCCGAGGAAGCTGAGACACTCCCTTCCTACTTTATTCCCAATTGAACTCGCCTTTTCTGCCGAAGTTAGGTGACTGTGCCCAACTAGATGGGGATTTGCATCCAAAATGTCACCAAAAGCGCCATAGAAGCATGGATAACTGCGATTGGCCCACCGGTTTTGGTCCAAGAGGGCTTCGATGCAGCATTCGGTCCTTATTCCCAATCGAACATGGTGGAATAAGCATTCAGGTGCTCAAGCGTACACCAGTCACCCGGTCACCGTGCAAGCTACAACTTTCACACCAAGGTTCAACTCAAAGGTTCGAAGGTTCAACCCGAGTGACAGGAAGGCGCCCCAACAGGCTATGGGTTGGTTCACATATCGCCGGTACGCGCCCGGAGTCATCAGGAGTGGGCCTCTTGCAACGTCTCCCAGCGCATTGTGATTATGTGAACCAGTGCAGTCGTAACAAAATCATACGGTAAAATATTGCAAGAGACCGCGGGCAAATTGGACAGTGCCCAACATTTGCGATCTGCCACAAAAGTGGTTAGTGAACCGTTCGCGCCGGTGATCGCCGGCTGCCGGGAGCCAGGCTTTGTCAAAAATTCAAACCAATACCATACTAAACTAAACCTCAATTCTTCTAAACTGGAGCTAGAGAGGAGGTCCGTTCGCCATTTTTATAGTCGCTTCAAGGTGGCAAATAAGTCAGCATACCAACCCGTCCTTCTCGGATGATCTTCTTGACTATTGTGCAACGTATGAGACAAATAGAATTGAAAAAAATAAAAAAATACGAAGGATACATAGACAAGTTGGTGTGACTTCATCAGCGTTTGCGCTCATAATTTTGACACCACCCCATGCCAGACTGCAATAAAAGGTGTAGAAGTGGTTTCAAAATCCCCAGTAAAAAGTACCACCCAGTGGCCATCACCGAAAGACCTTGAACTCCTGAAGAAACAAAGAATTCAAGCTCCAATCGGAAAACCTGTCGTAGCATTTGGGCACATTCCGTACTACTTTGTAGTAGATTTGGTAGTGTTGAAACGATCTCACCGGGTACTCGTTAGCTCGCTCGCCAGAAACTCGGCTCGTTTGTGCGGCCAGCTCATTTGCACAAATGAACACCGTACACCGTACTCTGTACACATGGCAGTACATGTCGACCGGGGAGTCGAAAAAATATTTTATGACTCCCTGGTCGATCGAGAGTCCGGTCCCACGCAAAGTGAAAATCACTCGCAGATGCCTGCACGACACTTGGGTTGTTTCAGTTGTCGTTGCAGCTTTGGCGGACTCTACTGATGTCTTGTTCCGCATCTGCTGACCTGTCGCAGGATATGCTTCGGTCACTTCTCCATTCGAGTGAAAGTTACGCTCAGTCATTTGGAAGTTTTCTCTCGTGATGCAGCGAAGAAGAGGGCTACTTGCAATCTTGGCAAAACAGTCTATTCTTACAAACTTTACAAAGGCTACTCAACGACGGTGCTGAAATACATCTCGACACCAAACAGCAGTCCGAAGTGAAGCAGCAGCAACCCCAAATGCTGGCGGTGATAATTTGAACCAGCTGAAAAAAATCATATTTGCGATATCAATGAAACTCGTTAGCTCGCTCGATAGCTTGCCCGTTAGTGGAACTGATCGCTCGTTTGTTATAGATACGCTCGTTTCAACACTAATATTTGGTACTCAAACTGTATGCGCAACGGATCAGGAGCTGGCTCACCGCCGATGTCTTGCGGCGCCGATTTTGCTGATGTGAACCAACCCTATAAGAAACGCGTTTCTAACTTTGCCGCTCAAGTATTTTGTAAAGCACCACAGCAAATGATGCACCTCTCTAAAGGTCTTTCCCTCAGCTTTCCAATTGTAGAATTGCTGCCACAGATCCATATGTTTTCTATATTGTAGGTTTCCAACAGAAATGCCACATTTTCATTTACACATGGTGGACAGGTTTCACTACCATGCAGTCTTTTCGGATGCAGCTATACCAAAAAAATGTATAACCTCGTCCTTCGTCCTGAAAAGATGAAAGAGTTTTCATTGATTTTATGTCGATGCCATGATGAACCATGTCTTTGCAGCAAGCGATTGTGGAGCGATCCTGGAACCTGTAAATGGAATGTTCTTTACGAACGGAACTACTTATGGCTCTATGGCTTCATTCACATGCAACATTGGTTACAACCTAGCTGGCTCCTCATCAATAACTTGTCCTGAGTCTGGAGTATGGTCGGCTAGCTTCCCCAGCTGTGACCGTAAGTTCAGAGTATTACCAAAAGCTGACCACTCTATGCACTCGCTCCGGGAATGTTGTACTTGATAGATCGCACACTGTATGGAATCACATTTCTATGAAACAACTGGCAGTCAAATATTGTATTTTTTGGGGTGGATGGGGGGGGGGAGGGGTAAGAGACGTCATAAGAACTATAACATCTCTGCTCGCTTTAAGAGTCTTCACCAAAGGTACTTTTTCGTCCCTTAACCCTTTGAGGGTCAGCTGGTTTTCCATAATTCCGAGGCGTTCGCACAATACAGCACGCAGCCACGGATGGGCGATTTCAAAAATTTCCAACTTCACTCCGCCTGCAATGGATTTTAATGATGTTGGGGTCGCTAAAAAGCTTGTGATCTCTTTCATCGAAACGTAAACAAAGGCAACGGTAGCCCCTCAAAGTCCTTTGAGTGCAACTCCATTGCGCCTGACTGAGATACACCACCCACATCCACAATTTCCTTTGGTTCAGGACTTTTACTCAACGCAGAATAAAAATTCAAACTTCTTCATGTTGCCGGCGTTCACGCATTCGTCTTGGTACCCACTGCGCATGGGCCGCTCTGCTATGTGTCATGGGGAAACCCCGTACGCGCGCAATTTCAGCTCGACAAATTCAAAATGCGCAAGTAGAGTGTATAGAAACGCGTCCGTAACTTTGCTGCCCGGTTATTTCGTATCGCGCCACAGCAAAAGACTCACTTCTTCAAAGAACTTTACCTCAGCTTTCAAATAAGCCCTGGTTTGCGAAATTCAAGTATAGAGGTTATGCGAAAGGATCACGTGCTGGCGGCGTTCAGGCGGCCAAAGCGGCCGCGCTCCGCAGGGGTGGCAAAAGAGATGAAAAGTTCAAAAGAAGTACATGTGCCTGGAATAATTTCACGAAGGAAATTTCCTGTATCGCTGTTACGTTCCTCTTCTGTTCTTTACAAAGGACTATTGTACGAACGCTGAATCAGTGGCCATGACTTCTCCCAAGTTTTCAAAAGTGTATGACGAGTTAGATGACTCCAGCAAATGCCGGTACCGTGAAAAGCTCGAGCGCGTTGCACCAGACTCGAGTGATCCTTACCTGCCCAGAAGTATTTTTTTAGAGGAAGATAAATTTCCACTTGTGGACTATCCCGATATTTACAATTTCTTGGTCAACGCGCCCAGCCCCTACACCAAGGAGCAGCTCAAGGCCTACAAGAGCTTGGAAGGCTACAAATACCTTGTCAGTGGCTGGGTCGGCGATGTTCGTGCGTTTCCAGCGTCCGAATCTGACGCATGTGACAGCAAGTTTATCATCGCCAAAGTCCGCCATTCCCAGTCAGTTTCCGGCACCCATCTGCAACCCTGGATTGCTGCGCAAAACGACGGTAGCGTGATTTGTGCACACTGCACCTGCATGGCTGGTCTCTGGTGAGTCTTGTTCTCACGTTGCTGCGCTGTTGTTCAGCCTGTATTCTAGAACGCAGCTGATTCAGAACACAGGAAGCACTTCATTGCCGTGCCAATGGTCAACTCCTTCAATGAAGGAGGTGGAGTATGCCAGGATTCGTGACATAAACTTCACTGCACCCGACACTAAACAGCATGGGAGCAAGCCGTAGGTCGGAGGAGAAGGTCCCTGCTGATATTAAGCAAACCTCCAGTGCTGAGCTGGGTGAACTATATGGAAATTTATGTCAAGCCGGTAAACCGTCATTACTCTCCCTTGTTCCCGGGTTCTGCGATAGGTACGTACCTTCCAAGCCCGAGGGATATCCACCCATTTTGGATTTATTGTACGAACCAGACATGCTGGATGCTAGTTTTGGGGACCTGCTCGTTCGTTGCGAGGCAGTATTTCCAGCGGTCTGTGTTTCAGAGGAGGAAGCACGCGCTGTGGAACAGGCTACGTTGAACCAGGCAGATTCCAAGGCCTGGTTTGAATTTCGCGCCGGCCGGATCACAGCTTCAAAGTTGAAGTCTGCTGTTTGCACGGATATTAGCCAGCCCTCTACGTCCTTAGTCCGCTCTGTGTGTTACCCTGAGGCACACAAGTTTCGTAGCAAAGCCACACAATGGGGATGTGATCACGAGCAGAAGGCAATTGACAACTATAGTGAACATGCCAGTGCAACACATCAGAAGGTTGAAGTACTGCCCAGTGGCTTTGTAATTCATCCGGACTATCCATATCGTGGCGCTACTCCCGACTCCCTTGTGCAGTGCTCCTGCTGTGGCAACGGCGTGGTGGAAGTGAAGTGCCCGTACGGGTGGCGAGACAGTAGCCTGCATGATGCTGCCGATTCAGGACAGTTCTGTCTAGTAAAGTCCGGCGGAGCACTCCATCTTAAGCAAGACCACATGTACTACTACCAAGTACAGCTACAGATGCTGGTGTGTAAGGTGCAGTACTGTGACTTTGTTGTGTGGAATGAAGGTCAGCTGTTTGTGGAGCGTATCTGTGCAGACACAGATTTCATCCGTGAAGCGGTACCAGGTGCCCAGAAATTCTTCCAGTGTGCTGTTCTCCCAGAGCTTGTTGGGAAATGGTTCACTAAGACGTTCTCCACTCTTCCTGCCGATGCGTCTTCAGCGGCTACATCAGCCTCGGAACCACTTGGTGCTGCCAGTACAACATCTACTGCGGATCAAGAACGCCCTCCGGAGTTTTGCTACTGCAAGTCTGTGAAGGCTGGCGAGGTACTGCGATGTTCCAACAACGATTGCAGTATTCGTTTGTTCCACATGACTTGTTTGCAGCTGAAGAGTAAGCCAAAGCGCAAGAACTGGACCTGCCCGGAGTGTCGCAAGATTAAATCTGCCACTAAATAATGATATGCATGTACAATTACAGTGGTAGCGACTTCGGCGACAAGTTTATAGGAATGTTGGTCGCTAAGCACAACGTTCGTCAGCCTACTCAAGCTCAACTGCATGAGGGGTGAATTCCCCGAAACACTGTGTATTGAGCAGGGAGTGGTGCTTTCTTGCAGGTTTGCCGGAAGGAGGGCTCGAGGGACTTCTTCTCTGCTCTAGATGGCAGTTGTGAGTCAGTCAAGTGTCTGGATGGAAGTCGTGAGTTTGTCAAGTTTCTGAATGGCAGTCGTGAGTCAGTCAAATGTCCAGTCAAGGCGGGAGAAAAGCTCGACCTCTAGTATGGGGTGCAACCAACTTTCCATGTACATAGTCATTTTTGTCGTAGCATTTGTAAATCCAAGTCTCAAGCATTTGAGAAGTGATTATATTCATGGAGCCTGCTATTCTGGTATTTCTAGAGTTGCATTTTCAACTTGTTCTGCTGTGCCTTCCACGGTACTTGCTGTTGCACTTGCCACGTGTGTGCATACAATCGGTGGCTGGGTTTTCACAACGATTTCCGTTACCTTTCTTGTATTTCTTTGCTTGCATGTATCTCTGAAGGACCATAATGCTGATTCGTATTTGTGGGTCCCAGGACATGCGTGAAGACCACTCACTGCTTATGCATGTGAGCAGAGGAACTCCATCATTACACATCAAACACTTCGCTCTTTACGTCTCTTCCGGGTGATGTTGGCATAAGTTGAGTTGTTCTTTGGTGCTGGGCATACTACATCTGATGGTACATCGCGCACTACCCAGCACCCTAAGTTGGGTTTCAGGGCTATTCATAATTATTATATTGTGTTGTCCCTATTTGGACCACGAGTCATTATATTGATGCAACAAGAAACGGAGGCATGTCGTGAGTGATGATAGAAGCCATTATTATTACTATTATTATAAGTCTGTTGGCGTTGCCATGACCAAGCAAGCTTGGCTAGCCAGACAAAAGAAACTAGAAACAAGCGAGGTCAATAAGGTGAACACATGCGCATGCAACTGCAGAATAGGTAAAACAGAAATATAATTGCCGGTATATCCAGACAGTCCAAAAAGCACAAGGGGTTAATAATAAATTTGAATAATAATATAATAATAATATAGCAATCATTACAGCTGACAAAGCGGCATGATGTAATTTACTCGAAAGGTACGACGGACTCACAACAGTTGCACAGAGCACAGCAGACGGTGACAACCTTGTCAATGAATGCACATGATGTAGCTTTATCGTCATGCATGAGGAAAGCAATGGGCAAAGTGCCAGAGAGGATCGTGTATTTCTGGCGAAGCATTCCAATCACTCGCTCCACATGGATACGGACGCGTGACACTTGTCGAGCACTGTCCAATTTCAGCCTGGAGAGTTGCTTCTTCCCCTTCGTAAATGGGGGCATCACCAACTCTGCGCAGAACATGCCAACGCTGTCTTCAACAGTGAAACCACGGTCAGCCAGCACCTGGTCACCCGGATTTAGGTGACTAAGCAGACCGCAGTGCTCTGTGATGAACTTGTCTGAGGCTCTCCCGCCCCATGCATGCGAAATAAATGTAATGACACCTTGTGGCGCTACGCCAATCAAAAACTTTGCAGTGTTATGGCTTTTATAGTGAGAGTACGTTTGAGCTCTTCCCATCAGATCAGAAGGTCGTTCACAAAAAACTTCAAAGCAGTCAATAATGACAGCACAGCCCGGGAAATGCTTGCGAAATTCAAGTGGCAGAGTTTTGCGTAGTTCGTCCCTTTCCGGCCATTTGACAAGTGGTCCCAGCATCACATGCATCACCCGGATCCAGCGCTGGAAAATCCGGCACACGGTCGACTGGTGAATGCCGAATCTGTACGCCAAGTCTTGGTCCCGACAATTCAGCCAAAGCTTCATGAGAACAATCAAGAACTGCTGGAAGAGAGAGAGCGTGTGGCGGTGGTGCTGTGGAACTCTCTTCCTCACGTGTTCAAATATGCCCATCATAGTCCCAAAAGACTGCAAACCAGTGTAGAAGAGCACCTTCGCGTTGCTCAAACGACTCGATTGACAAGGTGTCACCTTGTCCTGGAGCGTGTGGCATCCGTTTGCTTTCCAGGACCAAACAGTTGTTTGTCTCTTCCAGCCGCATCAAGTGCTCCATCCATATCCATGTCAGTCTGCGATGAGACACTGGAGACTGCTACAGGATCAGACTCTACCTCTGCACCATAGGCACCAGGCAAATCTGCTATTGCCTCTGTGAAGTCATTCCCGGAGGCGTCCACTTTCACTGGTGTCTGCGTCTTGCTCTCCTCGAACGTCAGCTTCCGCTTCGCTCGGCGTTCATATGCCACCAAATCCCTCTCCGCTTTACGCTTTACAGGAGTCCTGACATGTTCAAAAAGTTTCGGAACGTAAGCAGGAGATAGTGGATCGTTGCTCTTCTCTGCGCCTACGAAATGGTCTGAACAGATCCTGCTACTGTCAGTTGGCTTCCAATTCTCTCGTCTCATAGCCGCAACCCATAGTTTGCGCCGCTCGTCCGCTACAGGAAACTTGTAAAACTTCACAGCCGTTTCAGGATCGGCACGATTGCTACATCCGACGGCTGCACAACTCTTCGGCATGTTGAAGGCTAAAAACTTCAGCAAGCGAGACACCAGCGGAAATCAAAATAAAAGTGAGAAACGATATGTCGACAACCAACAACAAATTTTACTTTTCCTCTCAACGACTAGTAAAAAAATAGTTCAAGCAGAAACGACTTCATTTTGCCACCCCTGCCACTCGCAGCCGCCTTGGCGCTCCTCGTGACGTCATTCGCATAACCTCTATAGAACGCCTCCTACATGAACACAGTTTGATTATGCTGAGTGATGAGAACCTCATGGACGTACTGTGTTGGTCTTGGCGCAATTTGTGAATAAAAAATGTGTCAAATTAGCTGAAGTTACTAACCGTACCTTGTCGGATAATGAATGGGCGGTTATTCGCTCTGAAAGACATTCTTGGGAAATCATTATCTAGATGAGTGCAATACTATATACATACAAGTACCGGTATACGGAATTTCCCTGTGCTCATTCGTCAACTGCGAAATCCTACCAGTGCCCGGGTCATACATTCGAAGATGGTGGGCCCCAATGGTCGAACCAGTACCTCTCCGGCATCCATTGGTAACTTACTGAACCGCCACTTCGTCAGTGCTGGCTTACAGGTTGACCCCGATGCTCCTACTCCACTATTTCCTCTCTACCTCCACCAGCAACTACATTGCACCCCTGATCATCACCCTATCGACTGTTCACAAGTACATTGCAAGACTGCCTCTGAACAAATCCCCCGGAGCTGATAGGATCACCAATGAGATCCTCAGGAAACTGAGCTACTCAATTGCCCGCCCACTCTCCATTCTTTTTAACCTTTCCCTCTCCTCCGGCACATTCCCGTCACGATGGAAGTCAGCCACTGTCATTCCAGTGTACACAAATAAAGGCGACAAGAACAACCCGTCTAATTACCGACCAATCTCCCTTCTGTCTTGCGTCTCCAAACTGCTAGAGAGAATAGTGTACGACCGCTTGTATGACCATATCTCCCATCTCCTTTACCCTGCACAATCTGGCTTCCATCCCAATTTTGGTTAGCAAGTTAGTTTGCTAGTACCTGAAAGGTCTAGCTAGAGTTCGAGTGGATTCCAAGAGCGACAGGTGGGTGATTCTGATTGATGCAGCGCCGCATCAAAATAGATTATCTTGTTACGCTGTGCAGGCAAGAGCAGCGCAAGCCACAAGAAAGTAATCGGCTTCTCGGAATCAGCTCCATTTTGCTGAATGGCCAAGATCGCTCACCTCAGCCTCTGGGATCGCTCATCAAGCTGAGATCGCAGCTCTCTTACCTCCAGCTCAACGCTCGGAGTATCCAGCGCGCCGTGGAGATTTGCAAGTACTGTACGCGTCGTAGTCATTCAAAATACAATCTTGCAAAGAATGGCGTCTGATTTGAACCACACAGGCTATCGTGCTGCCCACGCGAAGTTCTATAGAGAAGGCGACCGTCACGATCGACTTCTCTTTAGAAAATAGCCAGGCAGCGGAGCGGAAGAGAGATGAGCTTGCAAAAGCAAGAGAGTCGATCCCGAGCAAAGATATTTGTCGCCAGCGCCGAGAGCAGCGACGAGGAGGACCGAAAAAAAGTAGGAACCCTTCCTTGGACAATAAATTCCTTGCAGCTAGTTGTCATTCTATACCATACCGTCCATCGTACAAAGTTGCATCACTTCAAGTGCACGCGTTCATGTCCAAAGTCTTAGTTCAAATTGTCCAAAGATAAGCGACAATATTGCTGACGCGGACCAAGTACGGCTTCCCTGCCTGGTCCACCATTAACAAAGCCCACATAGGTAAATTAGAAGTTCTCCATCGCCGTATACTGCGCATCATATGGCCCAACTTCTGCGAGAACCAGGCTTAGGGTGAACATCATTTTTTTGAGAAAAATGATGTTTTGTAAAAGGTTGTGTCGCGTGGACGCTCGAGTGCAGTGAAGTGGAACCAAAGAGAATCTCGCTTGTTTGAAAAAGTAGCAGCCATGGCAGGAAGGGTTTCAGCAGTCGGGGAAGTCAAAGGGCTTCCGGTAGAATATTCCCTGCTACTCCTCTAGTCACAACGAAGAGTTTTTGAGCTGATCGAACGGACTCCATCTCCTTCACTCAGGGATGGCGAAATTTCTGCGTTTGCTGCTGCTTGCGGAAAATGGTGAAGAAATCGTCTCCAGTTAGAGTCGTGATGGCGATAGCGAGGAGAACCTGGACGCCGTCGATCCAGCCAATCGAAGTACGGAGATACTAGTTGTTTCTGGGCCTCACGCAAAGGGAGCACGCGCAGTAGAGCTCATACATTTGCAGCAAGTTCCCGAGGAAACAGGCTTGAAGTCCAGTGTGAAAACTGTTTTGAATTGAAGTCCTTGGCGATGAAGTGCTACTGAATGCCAGGCGAATGAGCGAGCAGATTGAGAGGCCTCCACTCGAGACTTTCCTCGCTGGACAGCTAGTTTGCAAGGGATTGTACGGCGTGCCGAGATAATCGCGAGATTTCACTTGCTGGTCAGCACCAAGCAGACACTGCAGCAAGCCAGCACACTATGAACAGTGGAACAGTTTGAAAGGCTGTGTTCTTGCTTGTTTATGAATAGTTGTACTAGATTCACACTTGGAAAGGTGCCACCTCAACTGGAGTCGGGTTTCCTTGTGGTGTGTAGCGCCAGAGCATGCCAGTACATGTATGCAGCCCCAGAATGTGCTGAGTGAGTAGCAAACAAAATTCACCCAGAACTGTGCATGGCCACTACAGCCTGCAGCACCAAGGGGCCACAACAAGCCTCCCCCACATGCCTACCTTGTCATGTCACCTAAACAAAAATCATCCATGTCTCTCTTCCTTTGGATTTTTTTTGGATTTTTTAACACAATATCCTGGTGTGTTTGAGATACTTTTAATACCACTATGAGTCGACCCACACCTGTAATATTTTGTTTCCTGACCTCCCATGCCCGGTAGAAGCTGAAAATGGGAAAATGTCATTTATCACCCACACGCACATCAAGCAAGTGGAAGTTGGGGTTGCCGAGCTGCTGCGGCTGGATCATATCAAGTGTTTTGTAACAGAATTTGTAATCAGCGAATTGTTTGCAACAATGCATTTATACCCGGCGGCCCCGCAAAGCGGGATTGTAGAAAATTCTGTAACAATGCTGGTAGATGGCAGGCAGTGCAAGAGATTAAGGCCAATGATCCTAACTAATGCTGCTGTGCCCTTGTGGGGCACGGCTGTGCGCAGGTAGTCAAATGACTGCTGGGACCGGACGGTCCTGCTGTATGCTGGGGCCAATTGGCCCGGCTGCTGGACACAATGTGTCTATGCTGGGACCATGTGGTCCTAACTAATGCTGCTGTGCCCATGTGGGGCACGGCTGTGCGCAGGTAGTCAAATGACTGCTGGGACCGGACGGTCCTGCTGTATGCTGGGGCCAATTGGCCCGGCTGCTAGACACAATGTGTCTATGCTGGGACCATGTGGTCCTAACTAATGCTGCTGTGCCCATGTGGGGCACGGCTGTGCGCAGGTAGTCAAATGACTGCTGGGACCGGACGGTCCTGCTGTATGCTGGGGCCAATTGGCCCGGCTGCTGGACACAATGTGTCTATGCTGGGACCAGCTGGTCCTGCTGGGACCATGTGGTCCTGCTGCTGGGCAGCGCGTGCCGCCAGTGCTTGAAAGCTCATGCAGAGAATTGTTCCAAAGTGAATTCAGCTGAGGGGCTTTGCTTGCTTCCCCCCTTTCTGGAGGCGCTAGAACTTAGAAGTGGGTTGTGGTGGGCGGGAGAAAATTCGCACAACACTGCTGATATTGCAAGCCAAGGTGCTCAAACAAATTTGTTTGCATAGAAAGGTCTCGCTGCTGTTCTCTGCCAGCAAGGCTGCGAGTCCCACGCTGGCGCATGTGCCATTTTCCCACGCTTGGGGACGATGTACGATGACAGCCGGCGTTGCGGACTGCCTGCGAGGCGCTGGCCGCGAGTGCTTCTGTGGCATGATAACTTTGGTTTGCCCGTTGCAAACCTACATTTATCACCCACACGCACATCAAGCAAGTGGAAGTTGGGGTTGCCGAGCTGCTGCGGCTGGATCATATCAAGTGTTTTGTAACAGAATTTGTAATCAGCGAATTGTTTGCAACAATGCATTTATACCCGGCGGCCCCGCAAAGCGGGATTGTAGAAAATTCTGTAACAATGCTGGTAGATGGCAGGCAGTGCAAGAGATTAAGGCCAATGATCCTAACTAATGCTGCTGTGCCCTTGTGGGGCACGGCTGTGCGCAGGTAGTCAAATGACTGCTGGGACCGGACGGTCCTGCTGTATGCTGGGGCCAATTGGCCCGGCTGCTGGACACAATGTGTCTATGCTGGGACCATGTGGTCCTAACTAATGCTGCTGTGCCCATGTGGGGCACGGCTGTGCGCAGGTAGTCAAATGACTGCTGGGACCGGACGGTCCTGCTGTATGCTGGGGCCAATTGGCCCGGCTGCTGGACACAATGTGTCTATGCTGGGACCAGCTGGTCCTGCTGGGGCCATGTGGTCCTGCTGCTGGGCAGCGCGTGCCGCCAGTGCTTGAAAGCTCATGCAGAGAATTGTTCCAAAATGAATTCAGCTGAGGGGCTTTGCTTGCTTCCCCAAGAAGAGTCAGTGGTTAGTGGCAACCCCGCTTATACACACTGCTCTTAGCCATATTTTCTTTCTTGCTTTCTTTCCGCGGTTGAGTAAACGCTGTGCTACATGCATGCAGATAGGCTTAGCAGTGACAGTGCGCAACACAATGCGTTAAAGAGTTTGAGTATGTGGTCCAGGCTGGAGCAGAGATCCTTAATCGGGCAAGCTGCTGAGAGGTCATATTCTCACATAAGGGGGTGCAGAGTGCTTAGAGTATTTTGGGCAGGATTGATACAAAAACAGTGCCCAGCAGCACGCGCATGCACACATGGCAGTGTAGCCGGCTCATTGCTGGCCAGTAGGCAGGCCAGCCGGCACACGGAGGTACGTTTTGTACATGTCACTAGCCCAGCGGCCGGCCTTCTGGAGCTGCCAAGCTGAGGCATTCCTTCCGGCCATTGCAGTAGCCCCGCCAATCCTGAGGGAGTGACTGCTAACACCCGGATCTAGGGCTCTCGTCATCCAGTAGTTCACATCTTTGACTGTGAAATATTGCCCACTTCGGGATATGAACAGCGGTGACGTCGTTGGCGTTGCGTGGCGGATAGCGTGGTACTTGTGCATTGCTTGGACAGGGCAGAGCTGGCTGCCGGACCATGGCTGCAAGATGACTTGCCCCCAGTGCCACGTTGGGAGGTCTTCGTTATCCCGAGTCGTATGCTGATCTGAGTCCCAGTGAGTGAGACTTGACCCAGGGTCAGAGTGCGGCCATTCGAAGCGGAGCGGGGAGAGGCGGCAGTATCCTCGCTCACTATGAGCAATCCCGCAAAGGCTGTCATGAAGGTGGCCCAGAGCATGCACCTATCCGATTCGCAGTAGTGGGAGCGCTGGATCACGGTCAAGAGCTGCTGCAGGTCTGATTGGGTGATAGCCTGGCGTTGACATTGTGTCGGTGCTGCTTGCTGGCGGTGCTGCCATTGCTGACGCTCCGCTCCCTTCAGGGCTGCTGTAACTCTATCGTGCTGAGTTGTGTGTGACGGCCCGCCATGGCAGAGAAGGTAATACCTCACGGCGGATACATATACTCGGATGGTTGCGCTAGATCTGTGACCGGGTACGCAGTGGGTGATGAATGCAAGTAAGTCATTTACCGACGGCCTACTCGGCTGGCATCCCAGTTGTGTACACAGCTTCAGATACGCCCCAGACCCTGGCGGGTATGTGCGGGCAGAACTTGGGGCTACTGAGTCCCTAATTAGGTCGCCGGCCTTTATCAGTAGCGTCTGACGGAGATGATGTGCTCTATTGAAGTAGTCTGTTTGTTGGCGTTGGGCAGCATGATGCGCCCATTGTTCTCCCCATAAAGAGAGCGCAATGGCAATTGGGTAGAGTTCCCGCCAGATAATGCTGCGAAATGGGCCATCCAACTGGTGTGCTGACCATGTGCCATAGAACCGCGCTGTGTTGTAAAGCCCTCCGAAACCGACGCCAGGCGTGTCAGTGAAGAGCTGAAGGCTGGGGGACTTGGACCAACTGATGTCTCTGAATAGGGCAATGCCATTCCATGGGAGCGCCGATTCGAGCAACTAGTATGATAGCTCTGCTCGGGACCGCTAGAGCTGAGCTGGCAAATGACTCCGCATGGAGCAAATGACTCCGCATGGAGCCGGCAAATGACTCCGCATGGAGCCGCCAATGACTCTGAGTAGAGCCACCTAATGCTAAATATAAAGGTATGCATGACAGTTGAGAGCATATATTCTCATGGATTGTAAGAATACATTCTCGCGCCACATATATACTGGTACACACAGATTATAGACAGCAATAGCGACAACACGCAAATTGAAGGGTAGTTGGCCGCAGCCAGATGTGAACCGAAGCACGAGTGAGGCATGAAAGCAAGCACTGAGAACAGAGTGTGTCTCAAATGGGAAAGATGTGCATGCGGATAACAGAAATAAGCCATGATGCAGAACCACTTGGGACCGTCAGATTAATTTTCCTGGACCGAGCCAGCCGGGAAAAAACCCTCGCGCCGACGGACGCAGTAGTGAGGGAAAAAACCGGGTGTATAACCCCAATGGCGATTTGGCATCATGTAGGCATGGCAAGCACATATTGGCAAGAGATAAAGAACACGCCCGATGCCGTATATGCAACCGAAACATGTTGAGCGAGAAATACAACGTCATGTGTGCGCCAGAAACGTGAGTTGAGGTAACGGGTGGGAGGTTGGGAAGGAAAGTGTGTGGGAACAAATGTTCCGCAAGTTGCATGCTCCAGAGTCAAAACAGCAATGACAGTGCAAGAGACACGACTAGCGCATGCGCACGGGTCGGACCAGCTTCCGGGGCTGAAAGATGCATGATCAAGCGATGCCCACCCGATTTATTTGGCATGACACCAAGACATGCCCTCTTGCCCCAGGTGAGCATCCACAACATCAGGGTAGTCAAAAGCTGATCTAAGATTCTTGCTGAGGGTAGAATGCTTAACACCCTTAGGACGTGATGCTGGTCTACCAACAGTTTGTTCAGGTAGTGTGTGCGTTGCATGCCTACAATGATGGACAACACTGCCCACGCTTCGGCCCAGGCCACTGTCTATACTCGACTCTCGCTGTTTCTGCTATGCTGGGGCCAGCACTACTGACCCATCCGAGTCGTTCTCGAGCCTGAAACGTTTGGCTGAGGGTTCAGCGGGCCCTGCTGAGGGGCGCAGGAGCCTGAGGAGGAGTGCTAAATCTACGAACTCCCCTCGCAGCACTTTCTCCACCACTCTCGGCCACATGTGCAACACACAGGCCGGGACGGGTGTGGGCATGTGGTGGAGATGCATGTATCTCTTAGCCTGTCACCAGGAAACCCTATATATAGGGTTTGACATAACGCTACACATAAAGACCCTATATATAGGGTTAGGACCCCTAAAGAAAGGGTTTGATCAGTCCTCACAACTGGGCACACAATACACACAGTTTCACTTGGGTTTTTTTGATATGTTCACTGCATTGCCATTGATGTTAGCAGGAGCGCTCCTACGACGTGCGCGAGTGTCGCCGCATTTGCTGCTTCCGACCCACGTGTGGATCAGCTGATGCAGAAACGGCAATGGCGGGAGCGGCAGCTGCGACAGCCGCTGTTGATGCTTCGCCTTCTTCTTCAGGAGCATCCGACGCTGCTGGAACATCGACATCATCATCCTGAGTCGACACCAGGTCGCCAGGAACATTCTCATCGCCCGAGTTCGTCTCCACTAACTCAAGTTGCTCTTCCTCCATCGTGAACAATCAAACCCTAGATATAGGGTCTAGAAAATGTTACGACAGAGCTGCACTAAAACTAACCGTACTTGAAGAAAACAGCAACAAAATGATCACGGTCTTCAGCAAGAGAACCGTACGTACATTCTACGTATGTAGGCCCAGGCGTCTAGTTGCCATAGCAGCCAAGTGGGCTCTCAAGAGAGCTCAAGATAGAACGCGCGGCTGAAAACCCTATATATAGGGTTTGACAGGCTAAGAGATAGGCACGTCAGAGTCAAGCCTACCTCAGTAGTACCTGCCGAGTTCAGGCCTTGTGCGCAGGCGATATCAGCATCCGGCTCGCCAGAGTCGTCCCCGGAAATGGCTTCTCGGATGGAGGAGCGGATTAGCTCGCGGATCTCCTGGTGCTGCTGTTTGAAAACGACTCATGATAGGCTAGCTAGAAAATTCGCACAACACTGCTGATATTGCAAGCCAAGGTGCTCAAACAAATTTGTTTGCATAGAAAGGTCTCGCTGCTGTTCTCTGCCAGCAAGGCTGCGAGTCCCACGCTGGCGCATGTGCCATTTTCCCACGCTTGGGGACGATGTACGATGACAGCCGGCGTTGCGGACTGCCTGCGAGGCGCTGGCCGCGAGTGCTTCTGTGGCATGATAACTTTGGTTTGCCCGTTGCAAACCTACATTTTTTTGAAATTTCACCCTAAGCCTGGTTTTCGCAGGTTCTGGGCCATATTTCGTATTGATTGTTACATCTCAAATCTAGACTTGTATGCTGCTGCATCCACTACCACTCTGCAACACTACCTTGATGCTTCCAAGTGCACCCTGGCACATTCAATTTTTCTTGACCATCACCCTGCTCATTTACAGTCCCTTAATTGGTTCAATTCAGGTGGCACCACCCGAAGCTGCGTTCGTCTCCCCCTAGCTAGGTCTACCCTATTCGTAAATTCCCCTTTCTTTTCCTCCTACTCCACGTGGCTCCAACTGCCTCCCAGTGTTAGACAAGCTCGAGATATGCCCAAATTCCGTACCCTCGTCAGACAGCACTTCAGTATCTCCCAGTAAACAAAGTCACAGTCCCCACTTCCGCTGCATAGCTCGCTGAGCATCCCATTGCTTTGTAAGTTGCTAATCCCTTCCCACTTTGTGTACGTACTTTTCATTTTCTTTTTTCTCTTCTTCCGTGGTTGGTCTCACCCTCTCCTCAATTAAATTGGCTGTCTTGACCGTACTCACGCGATTAGTGCCCCTGGGGCACTACATTTTCAATTTCCATCAGAGCTGAGGCAATGTTCAAGAGATTTAACAATATAGGAGAGGGCACTATGTTTTCAATGCCCGTACATTTGCACCATGCACCGTAAAACAGAGAAAAACAGAGCCTAAAGCCTACTGTAAACTATCACCACTCAACCGAAACGACAACAAGAACTGCGATGTTCATCCAGAAACCACCAGTTCAATGACATGGACAAGAACATTACCAAAAGAGCACCAAACTTGCACATGCGCTTGGTTACAAGCTCGGGGGGGGGGGGGGAGGGCACTATCCAAAGGAGAGAGAGAGAGAGCTCCATTTTATTCACTGGCTCTTATAGACTGGGGCAGTTTTCGAGATGGGGCACAATTACAAGAGAGGGCCCTAATCGCTCCCGTATGGTATGTCTTGTTGCTCTACTGTACAGGAGTCGTGTGCAAAACACTGGTGAACCCTTGGCTTGGCTCCGTAAGGGTAACAACTCATGATTATCTATCCACGGCAACCTACAGTTGCAATGATGGATATGTGTTGTCTGGTGATGCTGTGACTACTTGCCTACTGACTGGACAATGGTCTACATCACCACCCACCTGCCAACGTAAGTGCAGAATAATGTATTACGTTTAGTTTGTGCAAGAACTTGAGGAGTTCTGCATAATAATTATTATGGTTGTCGAAGCTAGGCACCAGGATCAATATGAGGAAATACACATAAACTCACATGAAGTGGGTGTTCCGTTTTTTTTCTTCAACACAACCAAATACAATCCCTGTGCATATGATGAGTGGATGGTTGAAATATTTGGTTCAGCCATTTGACTGCTGCGGAATCCTGTCGCTAGTACACTGAGTACGGGTACGAGGAAACGGGGTAGTTTTTCTCTGAAAACACACCACACTCAAAAGTCCGTAACCTGGACATCACTTATCAAAATTTCTAATTTGAATCACTAACATATCAGATGGAGAGCAACGGAAAATATGTACCATGGAAAACATCTAGTTTAGTTGTAGATTCGATTGCATAATTTTTGCCCTAGTGTGTCCATGAATTACTAACGCTTCAGTTGCAGTACTAATTACGATCACTGCTTTCTAGCCATTCCACCATAACTTCCTTTGTACTTCACCGATTTTGATGATCTTAGGCTGGAAAGCACTTAGAGAGATAAGAACACTAATTGCAAATTTATCAAGATAATCTATCTCTGCGAAAACTCCGGAAAATGCCGCTATATCTAATTTCCAAGTCAAGTTGTGAAACGCCACATTATGTGCAATTTAATTTCCATTCAGTTAAATATTCTTAATTAAGAGAGCATGTCTGAGTAAACCAGAACATATGTGCAAGTCGGTCGCTCAGATTTCCCTCAAATTTTGCGGGTAGGATTGCTTTGGGGTGTAGATCGACATTCCAAAGCCCGCGCAAAATCTTTTGAAGGGAACCATGAAATTGGTATACCCCTCAATATTGGCCCAATATTGGCGCGATTTATAGGTTTACAAACGAGCCACGGCACAGCGAACAAGAACAAGCTACAAACAAAACTCCATCAAGCCAACATTACCTCACCTTAGAAGAGTTCATGGGGCAGCACCACTTAGCGATGCCAGCATCCCAGAAGACGAGGGCAATAATCCCTTGACGCCACAAATGATCGTCTTGAAAGAAGCCAAATTACAAGCGCTGATAAAACAGCGAGCTACGTCCTCAATTAGCAAACACTGGCAGATAGTAAAACACCTCTTCTAGCAATGAGGACATGTCCCCCATCATCCTTTTTGGGTTTTCTTGAAATACACAATTTTGAATTTATCCACTCGACCATTCTGAAATACGTCCAAACTCATACCTGCGGAGGAAAGCTCGCCCCCCCCCCCCCCCCCCCGCGACAAGTAGTCAGCAATTTCTACTCCAACACCACTCTCAACGCTGCAGAACAAAGTGTATTGTTGACTCTGACAAGGAAAAGCAGCGGTGATCACTTGTCACTCCCAACGACAAGCTTCTCCTTGCGCCACCAACATTTTTCGGTTCAACAGTTGATGCAAAAGTGACTGAATTTTTGCGTGTAGTTTTGGATTTTTACTGCAAGAGGATTGAAGAAATCACGTGCCTCGTGAATCGAGAATGCCAGGTCTCGTAGATCATGGTTCAGCAGTTGTTCCGAGTCACCTTGATCAAGCTCACCTGCACTTACATGGATCACTCGTTGATCTAGATCGGATCACGTGCATCTTGATGTCCAGCTCAAGACTAGAGCACGCATGTCGTGTTGTAGGCCCTCCAGCCGGGACTTTCCCTAGATCCCTCAACATGCAGCACAGAGTCTAGGGCGAGTAGGGTCAAATCACGTTGTTCATGACGTAAGAAATCTGCCATGAGGGCGTGCCACGTACCCCATGGCCCATGCAACCATGTAACAGTGTAGGCCGCGCGCTGGTCAACTCCAATCGACCTTGTCCTTGATGGCATGGACCACGCTCATTCCTTGCTGTTGCAGATCTACGTGGATCATCAGCATGTAAACTAGCCGTAGTTCCTGTTGAACCATGTTCGGGATGAGCGAGGTTACTGTGAAAAAATGCATCCCTGTTCATACTGCAAGAGGAAATATCTCAAAGAATTCTCGCCAAGGCAATACTACTAGCGTTATTACGATACTTTCTGCATGTTCTGAGCAGAGCATGCAAGAAATAATGCATCTTACCTCCTCCCTCATGGTCCGTTTCAAATAGCGCCTCAGGAACGATCGTGATCATGCGCATTGTGTCGTGCACCAGAAAGCATTATTCTACGTCACGATCCACGTGATTTCTTCATTCCTCTTGCAGTAAAATCCAAAAACTACACGCAAAAATTCAGCCACTTTTGCATCAACTGTTGCACCGAAAAATGTTGGTGGCGCATGGAGAAGCTTGTCGTTTGGAGTGACAAGTGATCACCGCTGCTTTTCCTTGTCAGAGTCAACAATACACTTTGTTCTGCAGCGTTGGGAGTGGTGTTGGAGTAAAAATTGCTGACCACATGTCGCGGAGGGGCGAGCTTTCCTGCGCAGGTATGAGTTTGGACGTATTTCAGAATGGTCGAGTGGATAAATTCAAAATTGTGTATTTCAAGAAAACCCAAAAAGGATGATGGGGGACATGTCCTCATTGCTAGAAGAGGTGTTCTACTATCTGCCAGTGTTTGCTAATTGAGGACGTAGCTCGCTGTTTTATCAGCGCTTGTAATTTGGCTTCTTTCAAGACGATCATTTGTGGCGTCAAGGGATTATTGCCATCGTCTTCTGGGATGCTGGCATCGCTAAGTGGTGCTGCCCCAAGAACTCTTCTAAGGTGAGGTAATGTTGGCTTGATGGAGTTTTGTTTGTAGCTTGTTCTTGTTCGCTGTGCCGTGGCTCGTTTATAAAACCAAACCGCGGCTTTCACTTGTCAGAGTCAACAATACACTTTGTTCTGCAGCGTTGGGAGTGGTGTTGGAGTAGAAATTGCTGACTAGACGTCGCGGAGGGGCGAGCTTTCCTGCGCAGGTATGAGTTTGGACGTATTTCAGAATGGTTGAGTGGAAAAATTCTAAATTGTTTATTTCAAGAAAACACAAAAAGGATGAGGGGGGACATGTCCTCAGTGCTAGAAGAGGTGTTCTACTATCTGCTGGTGTATAGTGTTTGCTAATTGAGGACGTAGCTAGCTGTTTTATCAGTGCTTGTAATTTGGCTATTATCAAGACGATAATTTGTGCCGTCAAGGGATGATTGCCCTCGTCTTCTGGGATGCTGGCGTGGCTAGCTGGTGCTGGCCCAAGAACTCTTCTAAGGTGAGGTAATGTTGGCTTGATGGATTTTTGTTTGTAGCTTGTTCTTGTACGCTGTGCCGTGGCTCGCTTGTAGACCCATAAATCGTGCCAATATTGGGCCAATATTGAGGGGTATACCAATTTCATGGTTTCCTTCAAAAGATTTTCTACGGGCTTTGGAATGTCGATCTACACCCCAAAGCAAACCTACCTGCAAAATCTGAGCGAAATCTGAGAGATCGACTTGCACATATGTTCTGCTTTTCTCAGACATGCTCTCCTATTGTTTTGGGGCAATATTCTAATCATCCCTTGCTTCCGTAGGAATATTTTCATACTCATCCGTGGCAGCTAGGGACTGAAAACCTGTCAGCAGCACAAAATGAAAACAAAACAGAACATTTTCCATCAAGCGGAAGCTGCTCAGACTTCATCGCCAAGAATTGAACCCTGTTCAAGCCGACAGACATTTCTACCGTCCGACTTTAACGTGCACGATAAAGAGTGAGTTTGTTGAAAACAGTGCTGTACCGTCTGCATAATGATAACGATAATATTGCCTGTCCGCTGATCCGCATCTTCTTTTCCAACCGTAGGTATACCAACATGTGCAGTCCTTACAATTGCCGACGGTGCATTCAGTGAACTGCAGACGCAGAGACTGAACATGGTTGCAAATGTGACATGCAACGAAGGATACGAGATCAACGGCAGTAGATCTGTTGTGTGCTTGGAAAGTGGAAAATGGTCTGACACTCCACACTGCATTGGTGAGTGAATGATACAATTCCCTACTCTATTTCTCACCGCATGGAATGGCGATGTCTGTACGCTTGTCCAATTCGTTATCCTATCCGATGCTGATTCGATATTCTTTAATGGATTCTATGACGCCTGGGCACTGAGCCCACACTATTATAGTGAAACCTCGTTAGGAAGAACACTGAAAAGACAAAATTTAATGTTTGCCTAAGAAGAACTAGTATTCGTAACTGTATTGGGTGAAACCCTGTGTATTCACTGGTTAAAACATATAGATAAGAAGAACTCCTGTTATTGCGAACAAATATTATCGGTCCCTTGATGTTCGTCCTAAAGAGGTTTAACTGTACAGCACGAGTGTAGAATGCGTATTGACGAGGATTTACGGGAGGTACGCGTGTTAGAATGAATGACTCTAACTTCGTTACTGCTTCTCTAAACATTTCTCCCCATGCTAATACGAAGGATAAATAGGAAGCTCCTCGTTTGTGATTGCAACAGTTTGTTCGAATACGGTTTGCTCAAACTTCATTGTAGATATCTTATAGTTGCTGAGAATCTGCATTGTTATTTGTTTCGAAGATTCAGATTTCGGTTGAGATTTGACTGAATTACCATCAATAGAGTATAAATGTGAGAGCTCATGTTTCCATGGTCCGACGTTGGACAATCCACAGTATTGGATTGATGGTTTGGAAAATAGGGCTGCTCTGTTGGCTTTTCCACCCAAGACATCACAAGCATCCATAATGATAATGAGGATGGTAAATGTACACTGATCCCGCCTTATGTGTGCTTTCCGTTCATAGAGATACCGACATGTGCAGTGCTCCAAATCGCCAATGGTGCATTCAGTGAAGCGCAGACACAGAGAGTGAACAGTGTTGCTGAAGTGACGTGTAACACCGGATACCAGATCAACGGTAGTAGATCTGTTGTGTGCTTGGAAAGTGGAGTATGGTCTGACACTCCACACTGCATGGGTAAGTTGTTAATGACATCTCCTCCTACCCTTGTTACAGCCTGGAATGGATTTGGTTGTGTGCTAGTTCAATCCCTTCAATTTTATACGTTGGTTAACTGAAGTGATCCCACCAACCATTTTGGTGAAGTGGTCACGGCCATGTCGGCAACCAGCACGACCGTACACCCCGAAACGCCGCCAGGCAGCGCAGGTACAGGCACAACAACATCCAACTCACCGCACACCGACACAACTACTCCTACAACAACATGTAATCACCCATATTCGCCGCGTGCTGAAGACCTCCTCTCCTCACTGGTGACTAACACAGACATGTCCGAACATCCAGCAAACCCCTGGATTACCTCCGAACGATGCAGGAGAGCCAGTCCAATGCGAAATCCTCACCTGAGTTCAAAAATTACAAACAAAAAGAGAGCAACAACATTGACCCTGGCCACAGCCAACCGCTTGCCCCAGCACAGGGCTCAGGCTTCAGCCCACTGGTTTCCTAGGATACTTAATACTAGCCTACAGTAACTTTGTTCTCCACACAATATCAGTGAGTGAGTACCTTCAATTGCCGAAATACCAAAAAGAAGAAACAAATAATTAAAATAATATAAAAAATACTTCAAGAAATGGAAATCGCGAATTCATTAGCTCGAGCGTCAGGTGCCTGTTTAAAAAGATGGACGAGCTTTATTATTATTATTATTAGTCTGAAGAAAATGTTGAACGGTCTCTGCTGGGATGACGACTACACCATAGCTCAGTGGTTAGAGCATCGCTATCTACAAGCGAGTGTCCCTTGGTCGAGTCCTGGTGGTGACGGTCCATTTTTTCTTCAGACTTTTCCCATTTGTCTCTTTCCCTCAAACTAGTGAAGATTTTATGACTTAGGGCTCCCCGGGTGCTAGCGTGTACGTGAAGTGTGAGGGCTGCGTCCCACCCGCCTGTGTGGATTCACAGGAAGTGTGAGTTACAAAGTCTGAAGAAAATGTTGAACAGTCTCTGCTGGGATGACGACTACACCATAGCTCAGTGGTTAGAGCATTGCTAGCTACAAGCGAGGGTCCCTGGTTCGAGTACTGGTGGTGACGGTCAATTTTTTTCAGACTTTTCCCGTTTGTCTCTTTCCCTCAAACTTGTGAAGATTTTATGAGTTCGGGCTCCCCGCGTGCTAGAGTGTACTTGAGGTGTGTGGGTACAGTGAGGGCTGCGTCCCACCCGCCTGTGTGGATTCACAGGAAGTGTGAGTTACGAAGTCTGAAGAAAATGTTGAACAGTCTCTGCTAGGATGACGACTACACCATAGCTCAGTGGTTACAGCATCGCTAGCTACAAGCGAGGGTCCCTGGTTCGAGTCCTGGTGGTGACGGTCCATTTTTTCCTCAGACTTTTCCCGTTTTTCTTTTTCCCTCAAACTAGTGAAGATTTTATGACTTCGGGCTCCCAGCGTGCTAAATTGTGAAGTGAAGTGTGTGGGTACAGTGAGGGCTGCGTCGCACCCGCCTGTGTGGATTCACAGGAAGTGTGAGCTACGAAGTCTGAAGAAAATGTTGAACAGTCTCTGCTGGGATGACGACTACACCATAGCTCAGTGGTTAGAGCATCGCTAGCTACAAGCGAGGGTCCCTGGTTCGAGTCCTGGTGGTGACGGTCCATTTTTTCTTCAGACTTTTCTCGTTTGTCTCTTTCCCTTAAACTAGTGAAGATTTTAGGACTTGGGGCTCCCCGCGTGCTAGAGTGTACGTGAAGTGTGTGGGTACAGTGAGGGCTGCATCCCACCCGCCTGTGTGGATTCACAGGAAGTGTGAGTTACGAAGTCTGAAGAAAATGTTGAACAGTCTCTGCCGGAATGACGACTGCCCCATAACTCAGTGGTTAGAGCATTGCTAGCTACAAGCGAGGGTCCCTGGTTCGAGTCCTGTCGGTGACGGTCACATTTTTCTTCAGATCTTTCCCGGTTGTCTCTTACCCTCAAACTAGTGAAAATAATAATAATAATATTATTTTCGGAAAGGATTGGGAGAACGCCAAATTCAAAGTGTCAATCGGGGGAGTGAACTCCCTGAAAACAGAAAAAATAGTCAGACCTTCCAGGACTCGAACCCGGGACCTTGCTTGTCATGAGCAATGCTCTAACCACTGAGCTATGGGACCAGGCCGAACCTGGAAGGCGCTGAAACGTTTTTCACTCCAATGGCAGGTCCCAACACGTGCCACACATACTGATGGCATTTGGGTCTTTGTCCCTCCCCCAGGGGCCAACTACGGTCAGTTTCTGGGCCTTACCAGAAGGGAAAGAAGGTGATAATTTTTTTAAAGATTGGGAGGACGTCAAATTCATAGTGTAAGTCGGGGAAGTGAACTGCCTGAAAAGAGAGAAAAATTGCAAGACCCACCAGGACTCGAACCCGGGACACTGCTTGTCATGAGCAATGCTCTAACCACCAGGCCGAACCTAGAAGGCGCTGACAAGTTTTTCACTCCAAAGGCAGGTCACAACACCTGCAACACCTACTGATGGCACTTGGGTCTTTTTCCCTCCCCCGGGATCTTGCTTGTCATGAGCAATGCTCTAACCACTGAGCTATGGGACCAGGCCGAACCTAGAAGGCGCTGACAAGCTTTTCACTCCAGAGGCAGATCACAACACCTGCATGATTAAGGTTATGTATGGTTATATACATACTAGAAAGTAACAGAACAAGGAGTCCTTCACAAGGCAGAGCAACACGGTGTCAAAGGGTCCCTGCTCTGTTGGCTGAAGAGCTATCTTACTAGCCTTAAGATCAAAGGTGTCGTAGGTGACCAGGCCTCTACTACCCATGACATCCAGTCAGGAGTACCGCAGGGCAGCATCCTCGGCCCAACGCTCTTCCCGATCTACATTCTTCACCATGGCCACGAATAGCCCTTTCCCAAAGGTGCTCTTTTAATTCGCAATTAGTGTTTTTCGCGTCCCGCAAAATATGCTGAAAAAGTTCTCTGTTTTCAGTGAAAACAGGCAAAAAGTGCTCTTTTTTCATTGAAGGATAGCCATGATACATGTTCAGATATGACACAAGATGAGAAATGAATACGCGCTCTTCCATTTATGGGTCCACGGAGGGCAAAACAGGAAGTAAAGTTCAAAATACCCACTTTTTACAGCATTCTGTACATAGGGTACAAGCTTCACCAACTTGTTGCCCCCCCCCCCCCCCGAAAATGCGGCATGCCAAGGCCCATCCACATCGAGCACTCGGAAACTGTGACCGCATGCATGAGCAAACAGATTTTAGCACTTGTTCAGCTAAAAAAGCTCAAAAAGGGCGATATTCACCAAAAAACGCAATAAAGGGCAAAAGAAACGGGCTTTTCCAAAAAAGGGCCAAAAAGGGCGAAAAAAGGCGAGCACCTTTCGGAAAGGGCTAGCCACGAAGCGAATTTTCATGGAATTTAGGGCGATGTTTGGAATTCTGTGGAAACACATTTGCTGAGATATACGATTTTGGGCGAAAATTATTTGGCAGCACCGCATCATATTTTTTTTTAAATGGCTGTAAAGACAGTCTAATGAAAATAATAACAATTGTAATTCCAAATGTACAACTACGATGTACTTAGTACAGTCATGTCAAAAACCGGCCTTGGCCACCGAACACAACTGCCTCAGGACCGGATAGCCACTTCAGCCACCACCCTCACAACAGAGGTGTCCATGGCTGGCAGGGGACGAATCCGCCGTGCACCCCGCAAACAAGCAATGCTGGATCTAGGCAGAGCAAAAGACAGCCGGCACCGGATCCACGACATGACCTGGCTGTACGGCTCCTTCGTCTTCTCTGAGACTAGAGAAACGACACGCTTGTAAAAGGTGGTGGCGGATTTCCCCATCCCACCACTGGCTGAGAAAAACAATGGCAGGAAGGTGGCATGCTGAATACCCCTGACGCGTTGACCATAGTGTCGACGTTTTTCCTTCTCATGGCGCTGGTACGTGCTGGTGAGTGAGGAGGTCCGATTCGATTGCGCGAAAGGGTTGAAAACCCGTACATCGAGAAACACACGCTCGAATCTTCAAACCCAAACACCACTAGCCGCCACATTCAATCGGGCCTGGTCGTCAGTGATAGCGGTTCGGTACTGCAGCTTTCTCCAGTTAGCGGCTGGAGTCGAGGTTCGACTGCGACATTCGTGGCCACTCTCTTGAGCAGATTTGCTGTCACGTCACGAAGCTCGTTGGGACGGATTGTCGGGTAGCCGCCAGTGATGCAGGAAAGAGCGCGGGTCAAATCGAATGGCTCACCGCACACACACGCTGATGGTACGCGGCTGGGCTGCCATCCATACCGCAGAGCTAGGCCATCCCTCAACTCACTCTTGGATAGGGAGAACTCAGGAGCCTTCAGTGGACGGCAGGTTAGCCAGCTGGATGCTCCAGATTCGCGGGCCAGGTGGATAGTACGCTGCAGGCTTCCAGGTGCTGCGGTGATGAAAGACGCAGTAGCCTTCTGAATACGGCGGGGGGCTTCATTGCGTACCCTGGTCTTCATGTGGCTGACTGTGGCTAGCGCATCACCAAGCTGTGGGCACTGAGCGACGATGTTCTCAACGAGCGACGAGGTGATGGATCGAGAGGAACAGTACTGCGTCCCCAGTGTGGTCGGGTCAAGCACACCGAGCCCGCCTTCACGGCAGGGGAGAGAGAAGAGATGTCTGAGAGCGGAGTCAATAGGCTGTCCCGTCAAGTTTGGTAGAAGCTTGGTTTAGATGATATGCTCAACGGGTGCCATGGCTTCCGGAGCCTCCTTCTGAACTCGGCAGAGGAACGTCCACCTGTTGGCAAGGCTATGCGTGAAGGCTTCATATGCTGCTTGTGGTTGAAATAGGCCAAAGGAGGACAGAACATCGATCTCCTTGCACCATGCATCTGCCTTCTTCTGGAGGTAATCTTGAATAAAGGCAGGAGTGCCTATCGCCGCAAAGAGATACCGATGCCCCTCAGCAGTTATCTGGATGCCAGTATCA